TAACATGAATAATATGTTTCAATATCAATTATTAAGTTAAATAACTTTCACAAACTGTTACATTAAAACAAGCATATAATACATTGAGTTATCATTGTGAAGATATATAATGATTTGAATATTGAAAAAGTTCAAGTGTCTGTAATATACATTACTGTATCATACCAGTGCATTGCTGTATTCCTGTCCATTGATTCTGGGAAGTACAGGTGATTTGTACAGGCTGTTCTGGTTCAAACCCACGATTACATTGATATTGTATTATTGAATTGATGTTGTAAATTATTCTCTGATCTCCCAAAATCTCTGCATTTCGGATGATTGGTGCTGCACACGTGTTTACTGTAAACAAATATCCATCACATTAAATAGAATTCATATAATATTGTAATGATTCATTTGCACAAACTGTATCATTAATATGAGCACATACCAGCACACAGTGTGTTTGGTGTCCATCCGTCTCGTGTGCATGTGGCCTCTGCTGACATTTTATAATATCCAGACGTGCAATAGTAAGATATTCTTGCTCCCAACATCTTATCTCCTCTGAAGTAAGATTCTGGCAAATACACATGCTGGTCACGCGGAACTTCACATCTAATTTCTGAAACAAGATTTACATTATTTTAATAACATGCAGTTCATCAATAAAGGCAGAAGTGTTTCTCTATAATCTTACCCGCACACACAGGCTCATGATCCCACTGTCCATTCTCTCCACATGTAAATGATTTGGTGTTTTCTTTTGTTCGAAAGATCCAGTATCTTTCAGTGCAGGTGATCTCCACACTTTCTCCAGCTCTGAAAATAGTTTTTCCCTCCGGGTTTATCCTTTTTACTCCATATGTGGTTGACTTAAGCTCACAAGTTACTTCTGTACATGACATAATCATGTAGAAATAAGAGTAAGAAGAGATGAAGTATCAAAAATGTGTGAAACTGTATTTGCACGTTTGTCTTTTGCAGGAAACAAATGATTCTGACAAATAAAATAAAAGTAGTTCTGAAATAGCGTTCCATAATCCAATAAATAGAGTATCAATTTAAACAAGTCCCTAAATAAGTAGAGGCACGTTTTTAATTTTGAGAACTTTTAGATATATTTGCTATTATCTATTAACTATTATCTAAAAATTAAGCAAGCAAGTAGAAAGTAGTTAGTAAGTAGTATGTAGTTGTTAGCTGACTAAGTAGTTATCAAATGATAATGCTTTGCAAATGTTGTTACCTCATGATTTTCCCCAATAAAAAAATGTTAATTTTAAACAAAGAAAACAACATTAGTTGGACACTTTCGATAGCATTTCAGGAAGAGCAAATAATCTCATTCCCAGTGTTGTAGTCGAGTCCGAGTCGAGACCGAGATCAGTGAGGGTTGATTACCTAATTTACTTTTATTTACCTAGAGAAATCCTTTTTTTTTTTTTTTTTTTTTTTTTTTTTTTTTTTTTTACTGAATTTACTTAGAGTTTAAAAAATATGATCAGTTTAGGGTAAAAAGGCCACATATTAGGTGGTGTTAAAAGTAATTTTATTACAATTTGTCATGCGCAGTTACCAGGTAACTCGAAAAAAGTTTTTTTTTTTGCATAATGAAAGATTTGGAAAACAGGATTTTAGTATTATTTCCCATATTAATTGTTTATTATGTCAAAATAATTGTGCATTACCATCACATTTCGGGTTCAGAGTCCAGCCAAATTTAGCACATTTGGGGACTCCCTCTCTAGGCTTGAACCCTGGTGAACATCTGTATGTTAATACGGCATCTTTCTGGTATTCTTGCATTTTCCCAACAACTTCACCATTCGATATATCTGGCGCTGTGCACGTTATCTCTGTGTGAATAGCATGGGAAAGAGACATTGTTAAATTTGTGCTTTGAATAAAGCTCAGAAATTTGTGCAAACAAACAAAAAATGAAACAATGTAATGAACCTTTGCACTTTGGAACGGAGTCGCTCAATTCGTCCGTCTCTGTGCAGTGTATGTCACTACTTCCTTCTGTCTTTTTCTCAATAGATACACACTCAAAGTGAATAACATCAGCATAACTTCCCTCCTCTGAGTTGCCCATTGTAGTCACACCCTCATCTGTGAAAGAGTGTTAAAAGGATAGTATACATTTCATTAGAATAACACTCATAACTCACATTTAACTTTTGCTCCAAGTACAACACTGTTGCATCCAAAAACAAACTCAGACCCCTCTGTACATTTTAAATGACCATTGGTTGACCCCTGGATGACTGCATTTTGAATTTTTTTTATCTGAATGATGACAACCAATAAAAAGATATGGTCATTGGTGATGTTTCAATTCCCATAATTCACAGTTTCACTAATTGGTGTCTCGCCGAAAAGCCCAATCAACTTCAAGTGCACTGTTTGCCTGGATTTTTTAATTTAATTAACATTTAATTAAATTATTAAATTTTGATTGCATTACTAATAAAATATAAGGATTTTCTACAATTAAGTAGATTCTGCGCGTCAGGTAACGCCATTTTGCCATGTGTGTGTGAGTTCTAGGAGATTTTGAGAAAGACATAAAAGATATGTTTTATTGCCCATAACAAAATAATCGCAGCCTTTTCAATTTCAAATCGGTTTCAGTGCGATTACATGTAAATTGCAATTAATCTTTCAGCCATACACTTGAAGATGATTGAGCTTTATATGTAATGTCCCCTCAAAGACATTTTGAGAAGCACAAACAAACATTACACAAAGACAGAAGTGTCATGTATAAATGCTAAAGTTATAGTACATCAAAAAAATAAAAATGGTCAACAGTATCTAAAGCTACAGTTTGGGAAGTGCATATAATATAACATTTATATTCAAGTCAATAAAATCTAAATGAATAAGATTTTATAACAAAAAAATCACTTGCCTGGGCAATTCAAGGAAAAAAAACAAAAGACAAAACCGACGAGTTTTACAGGAACTCTCATTTTGATTTAAATCCTCTGATAAAGTAAAAAAAAAAAAAAAAAAAAAAAAAAGATTTTTTTTTTCTTATACCGGACCTCTCTGTGCACAAGCGATTTTCCTGTAAGTGAAAAGAAAAATGTTATCTGATGCAGATATTTGTATTTGTCATTTTGACACACCAACAGAAAAGTTACTTTAGGGAAGTGACACTTCTTGAGTTAACACTTCTTATGCAACATATGAACAGGAAGGAAAGGGCAGTTTCCAAAATTTCTTCCCCCCCAGGAATATATGTTTTTAATGTGAATAGGATTGTTTGGTATCATTTTAAAGGTCTCAGTGTGACTGGTAATAATGTCTCATTTCCAAAGACGTAAAAGAAAAGGTAATAAGGTTTTTACGAATATAGAAATATCTTGCACACAGAAGGGTGTGTCTTTCCTTTGAGTTAACACCTTCTGGCTTTTTGTCTGAATGCAAATTCTCCTTCCCCCATTAAGCATGGGGGGGGGGGGGATTCAGTAACTTTCCACTAAACTCATATTTTAGATATCAGGTAAGGTCTGGTTATAAAAGGAGGTGTAACGGGTAATTCGTGGCTGCTTTCTGTATCAGATCAGCCCATGATGCTGTGTCTTCAAGTCTAAGCATTCATGTAGTTAATATGTTGGGTAAAGTTCTTTGTTCTAAACATTTGATGGTTTGCATTGATTATCTTTAAATTGATCACGGAATTGTAATAATACATTTACCTGATATAATAAATTGTTATTATTCTAACAGACTTTGACTTTATTTTCAGTAGAGTTAAAAGGAATAGTCAAGTATTAACATATTAAATGGTGCACAGATATCATTGATAAACCTTTTCATTTTATGGAGTCAGATGAAACGAGTTAATACATAAGATTAAATGTGTTGCATTTAATTAAAAAAGGACCACGCCTGAAACCTTCACCACGAATCGAACTCCGCCATTGGATCAATTTTGTGGCCTTTTACAGCGTGGATCCTCTGTCTCGTCCTCGAAACAGCTTGTCTTGTCCTCGCCCAGTCTCCCTATCCGTTCTCCAGTTATTGTGCTTCTTATGACTCTGAGTTAACATTGATAACCATCAACAGCGCCGTGGGCCATCAAATTAACAGGATTTGTATCGTCTGGTTCTTTTAAGGTGATAGAAACTGTTCTAAACTGAGACTGACCGCTGTAGTATGAAAACCAGTGGCGTGGATGTGTGTGCTGCACCATCTCTATCCTCTTTCTTTTGTCTTTAGATTAACAGTTGTGTGTTTTTTTTGTTTGTTTTTTTGTTATCTAAGTTTGTGTGTTATTGTTGTTGACATTGTATACTATGTTTTGGTTGTGATTTTTCTTTTGGTTGCATATTTTGGGTTTCACCAAACGTAGTTATTATTGGAGTGCCTGGCTGTGTGTTTGATCCAAGTGCGCGGTGGTGTATGTGTGCGTAAGTAGTATTGCTCTTTTAAAAAGAAATTAAATAGTAATTTCGCCAGTAAACTCAGCCTGGTTGTTTGGTTTCATTATTTTTGTCTAATTTTGGTGTGAGTTAGGTTTATAAATTCTTCTCGAGGTTCCTCCTATTGTCGTGTGTTGATGTTTGCCATTTCATAGTGACCTACTGTATGTGATCACCTTTCTGGTATATTACCACAAATTGTATGTTTACCGCTAAGTGCCGTTTTAAAGAATAGATACTGTTTTAACTATTTTTGTACGTCAATAAATCACTTGCATTAATTGTTTGGTCATGTCTCTGACCTTCCTGGCACACATACATAAAAAAATCGAAATAAGCGCTTCAGATGCTGAATGTCATTAACAAATATGTCTTTTTTTGATAAATGTGTGTAAAGAATAACACTGGTGTTGTCTCAACATTTTCCCCACCGGCACATCCATAGTCTTAATGTTGGCTACATGTTACAACAAGTTTACTGTTGATAACATTATAACGCCAATGGCTTCTTAACATGCTATTATACACTCAGTTGGAGAGTCAAGAAGGATGACAAGTAGAAAATTGGTTAGGAGTACTGTCTGAACTTGAAAAAAATTATTTATTTATTTATGTACTGCTCTGTCTCCTATACATCATGATCATAGTACATATAAACATGTCAGAAATCACATTTGTAATCAGCAAGAAACCTAGCAAAAATAAAGTTTTATAACTCATGTATTTCTTTCCCCCCATATTTGCACGATACTAAAAACACTTGATTATTAGCAATGTTCTCTTTGGTCTTTGGTTAAAAAAAATAAAATAAAAAAAAGCTTTTTTCATGCATATGCTCACATAGCTGGCATTAAATTAATTAATATCGTTTTCATACATGCACATTTTATTTGGATTATTTTTTATTTAATTTTGACATTGATTTTATAATTTATTTAGTTTTAATTGCAAGAATTCCAAAACAGAGAATTGTTAAAGGGTTTATTTTGATTTGCTCCATTTGTTTTTGATTAGTAGCTGATGTATCAGTGATGTTTTATTCTCCTTGTCACACACACTCAGGTAAATTCATCACTCCATCATTACAGTATTGTATTAGGTTACTGTTACTGTCTATTAAATGTTTGCCCGTCTGACATGCAAAGATGATTCTGTCCTGATGTGGTGAGAATATCTTTTCTCGTCCACGCCATCGCAGCTCTATACCTCTGTCATCCATTTCCTCCACCGTCACTGAACAAGGCTCTGAAACAAACACAACATCTCACTGTCACTGTTACAAATAATAATTATTATATAGTAAGAAAAGAGTTTTCATACTTACTTAAACACTTGATGTTCCCTGTCCATTCGCCTTGTTCACAGGTCAAGTATTTAGAGTAGGGGGGACTCAGATCCAGTGTGTATTTATAAAAGCAGATGTATTCAACTCTCTCCCTTGAATTATATTCAGATTTAGTCATTTCAGTTGTATCTGCAAACTCTACTTGAGGTGGTCGTTCACATTTCTCTGAGGGCAAAGCAAAGTTATTTTTAGACTATTTTAAGATGACCAAGAAAATGTGGCATTAATAAATCTCAGTATCAGTCACATGCCTTTTCAATGCATTAAACCATAAAACTTGTCATTAATAATGCACATTATTTATACGAGAATTTGTGGTCATTTTTCTTAAATGCTTAAAAATGTCTTTCTGTATTAAAGAGATGTGTGGTTTGTTTCATATAATAAATTATAACTAGATCTAAATTTGAGGCTAAAATTGCATTTATCCATGTAAAGCTCGCCGCCACAGTGCTAGAGTGTAGTTGCTAGGTTATTCTGGGTGGTTGAGAGGACATTGTCTTTTGGCCCATATCAAGAGAGGCTTACGTGCTGATACATTATGAACCAAAGTTGAGCATTTACTTTAATATGAGCAATACAGATACTTACAAACACTGCTAACTAAAACCTGTGAACCTTACCTCTTACACATTTAGGAAATGGGACGTTCCATTTTCCCCCTGACAAGCAGGTGATTTTACTCTGTCCTTGTAATTTTGTTCCCTTCCCAACACATGAAAGAGTTACTGTGTGTCCAGGTCTGATAGAAACCTCAGTGACGTCTGATCTCATGTTTACTGGCAGGTTTGCGACACACATTACCTCTGAAGAACAGAAAGATCTGATCAATTAAGTATCCTTCAAGTGAACAACAGATCTATCATTGATCTATGTTTGTCCAATTCAAGGCTTTTATATTCTGTGGCCTTAATATGCATTCGTACACATCTTACTCATGTTATTTTGTGTGTCTTTTCATATAAACTTTAAAAACTATATTTCCTTTTGTGTTTTAATGAAGTTTATATGTTAGAGTTTTAGCACTTGATCAAAAATATGGTTGGTGGGTCCTTCTCTTAAATGTATTATGTAGCTTGCATCTTCAAAAGGTTTTTAGAACAATAATTTGATTTTGATAGACAGCATATGATTGGAAAAAACAAACAGTGTAGCAGGGTGAGTCAACCAGCATAGCAAAACGGATAATGTTTAACATTACAATAACATCTAAATCTTACAGAGCCCCCCTAGTCCCACTTTGGCAAAAGAAAAATAATTATAACTATCTTGCGGCCTCAAGATAGTAACTCTTGGCTTTAAGATAGTAACTCGTGGCCTCAAGATAGAGTTAGTATCTTGAGGCCACGTGATAGTATCTTGAGGTCACGAGTTACTATCTTGAGTCCACGAGTTAGTATCTTGAGGCCACAAATTAGTATCTTGAGGCCACTAGATGGTATCTTAAGGCCACGAGTTACTATCTTGAAGCCAAGAGTTACTATCTTGAGGCCACGAGTTAGTATCTTGAGGCCACGAGTTAGTATCTTGAGGCCACGAATTAGTATCTTGAGGCCACGAGTTACTATCTTGAGGCCACAAGTTACTATCTTGAGGCCACAAGATAGTATCTTATAATTAATTTTTTTGCCAAAGTGGGACTGGGGGGCTCTGTAAAATCTGTTGCACATGGACTAAAAGTACCAAAACTTAAATTATGATTTGACAGGGTGTTATATTTAATTTATAATTCTTGTTGTCACTATCACAAAATTATCTGGGGACTTGATGTTATTCCTCTTGATTGTCAAATACCTTTTACTCGTTATTTCAGCCCATTCTCACCCCCAAGGCGTCACCTAACTTCAATATCTGACACTTTAGGCGCCCTTTAGCGTCAGTTAGATGACGCCCTAGGATTGCATGTACCCTACCCCCACCCCAAACCTAAACCTAACCGCGTCCTCTAACTGACGCTTTCCTTTAGCGTCAGTTAGATGACGCTTTAGGATCGCGTCATGTAAGTGACGCTAAAGGGCGCCTAAAACGTCAAATATTGAAGCTTGGTCAAAGGTGACGCCTTGGGGTGAGAATGCGTTGGTTATTTTTACCTACAATAGTGTTTTTTGTTGTTGTTTTTGTTTTAATCTGCAAGAAGTTTTAAAAGTCAGTTATCATCGACAATCAAAATCTTACCTTCACATGTTGGTGTTTTTTCCCAAATTCCATTGCGGCAGAAAACTGTCTTTTCCCCATTCATTAAGAATGATCTTTGACATATGTATGTTACTCTAGATCCATCTACATACAACTCTTCAGGTTTAGATGTTATGAATGCATTTTCCACCTTTGGAGGAATGTCACAATGCGCACCCACTAAAGAAAAAAAGAATAATTTTATGATCTGAGGTGAACACTGTCAATAGATTCTATTGTCCACTATATGCTCTCGCTGAACATGCAATGAGAGTTTGAGAAGCTCACCCTCACACACTGGTTTCTCCCATTTACCATTGATACATCTTATTAAGCGTGGAGTTGATATGAACCCTGGATCACATTCAAATGTTGTTGTGTCTCCATCACGAAATGTCTTTTTTGTTTGCTTTAGTTTTCCATGGTGAACACTGGGAAAAGCACCACATTCGTCCTCCGCTGTAAAGACAGAAAACAGTAAGCACATTTCAGTACACTATCATTCGTCTAACACACGAGACTGACAATAATAAACTCACGGATGCACCGAGGTTCTTCAGACCAAGAGCCTTCAATACATGTTCCTGAATCCCACCAGTTCCCAGAGAATGATTTATAACCCGTGTTGCAGGAGTAATATATTTCTTCCTCATTGGAGGGGTTGCTGTTTATCAACCCGTTTTCCACGGATAGATCACGGCACAATTTCTGCTTTGCTGTGAGAAAACAGTTTACAAACTTTCTTAAATTCAAATCTCATGTTTTTGAGTTATCTTTGTGAAGATATATAATGATTTGAATATTGAAAATGTTCAAGTATCTGTAATATAAATTACTGCATCATACCAGTGCATTGCCATATGCCTGTCCATTCAACACATTCTCATCTCAAAAAGTCATATTACTGACGTTTTGGGACGTCTTTTGACCATACGTCAATATTCGCCTTTTTAGGGCCCCCTTGAACGTCGGTAGATGGCGATCCCGGGCCGTCATACAACTGACGCTTTACCTTTAACGTCAGTTAGGTGACGGGTTAGGTTTAGGGTTAGGTTTAGGTCTGGGGTAGAGTTAGGATCCCATAACCTCATCTACCGACGTTTAAGGGGGCCCTAAAAAGGCGAATATTGACGTATGGTCAAAAGACGTCCCAAAACGTCAGTTATATGACTTTTTGGGGTGAGACTGCGCTGGTCCATTTATTCTGGGAAGTACAGGTGATTTGTACAGACTGTTCTGGTTCAAACCCAGGATTACATTGATATTGTATTCTTGAATTGATGTTGTATTTTGTTCTCTGATCTCCCACAATCTCTGCATTTGGGATGTTTGGTGCTGCACACGTGTTTACTGTAAACAAATATCCATCATTAATTACAATTCATATTATATGTGTAAAGACTCTGGTCAGGTCTGATCAAGGCGGAAATTTGCATATCATAATTAATAATTGATAATTAATAATTATTCATACAGATTTGGATCAGACCGGTCTTACATATTAATTTATTAATTTTACCCATATGCATACATGTGCATCCCCGCAATTAACCACAAATTAATTGTTATTAATTGCAAGGACCACGTTTTACAAGACAGGCAAAATCAATGAGCTCAATTAAATTATAGAGCTTGTGAAAGCAAATTCTGTGGCCACAAGAATTTAGCTTTCCTGCTCTATAAACAAATACCCTCTTAGGTATGTTTAGTTCTGTAAAGCGTGTAGCTTATTGGTCGACACTTCATTGACTGGTATTATGAGCAAGACAATGATTCAGTCAAAATGAGCATAATTGTATTTAATAAAGCAACTACTTAAGCATTTACTACGTTACAATGATACATGTATTTACAAACATTAAAGCACAAACTAAGACGACGGAGGGCGTTTAGACAATGGATACGCGTGAGTTGGAGAGAGAGAGAGTGAGTTGTCAGTTAACCTTTCTGAACACCACGAAAACACTTTCTTTATGCTTTCTTTTCTTTAAGCTCTAAAAGAAGGTATATTTGCAGAGCCAATACTATCTCACGACCAATTCATACGAATTCGACGCATGATTAAAAAGTGTCTAATTCGTACTAATTCGAACGACCTCACTCATACTAATTCGTACGATTTGTCTAAACCCACGTGATGGTTAGGTTTAGGGGCGGGGTAAGGGGTAGGTCATTCGTATGAATTCATACGAATTGGCCAATTCGTAAAATATGTACGATTTAGCAAAATCGTATTAATTCGTACGAGTGAGGTCGTATGAATTGTTACGAATTAGCCACTTTTTAATCATTTGTCGAATTCGTACGACTTGGTCGTGAGATCGGGTTGGCAGAGCATATTTGGTCTGTGTGAGTCGCGGACTCGTTGCTCGGCCCGTTCGGGCCGTGTGTCGACTGGAGGTGCTGTCCTGCGTGCGCGCGTCACGTGGAGCGCGGCCGCAGCGTTTTTGCACGGTCCGTCCCGGTGCGTGCATGGTCGGTCACTTGCGCGTGGCTCCTTTGTTCCGTGGGGAGTCACGTGGCATTCGTAGGCATTCAGCGCGAGTGTTTGAAAGGCTTAAAGTCTTTGAGGTGACGTTACCCGAGGAAATAGTTCGGCAAAGTCCACTTCCTTTCCTGGGAGACGAACTTGGTAGTCCATTTGAGGAAAAGACGAAACTTTTAGACGAACAAAAGAAAAGATCCGTGGTCGGATCAGATCTCCGTGAGGAGATCGCTAGCATTA